TAATTGGCCAGTCAATTTTAAATAGATAGGGAAACTATGAGTTTTGGAGTTACTGCGAAGTTTTGGAACTATTTTGCTTAGCGTAGGTAGCTGACTAATTGTGTTCACATCATAGTAAATCTGAATTTGTCGTTATTACATTGGGGGCGCATTGCGCATGCGCCCCCAAAAACATATGTATGTGTGATGATGATTTTGGCGGTGATAATGATGATTATAATGACATTAATAAACTATGACGATAATGATGATGATGATGATGACCAAGCGTTATCATTATCGTCATCATCATCACTTTTCGTCATCATTATCACTTTTTTCATCATCATGATCATCACTTTTTGTCATCATCATCAGATGATAAAAAGATATTACCCTTGGCATACCTGCGCGCGGCATGAACTCGAGAGGTTCTTGATAGTTTTTTATTTTCATTTGAAATTTAAAGAAAGAAACGCTGATAGAATTGCAAACAAGATGAATAGAATACCAAACAAATGTCAGATATTATAAATCTATCAAGTTCGGCACAAAAAAATAAATTCTTAGCCTTGCATGGTATTCATCATTATATGATGTGAATGCAAATATAGTTAATATACTTTATATGACTAGTTTATCCGGTAGCTTATAGACTAAGGGAGATAACTGCTATAGGTTTAATTACACATCCTGTTAAAGTTGTCCTTCTTGTTGGATTTTTAACAATTTTTACAGCTTATATGAATAACCAGAGTCAGGTTTGTTATGTTGGCCTAATGGTATACGATTAACCTTTCAAAATTTATCAATAAAAAAGGATGACCAAAATATATGTATATACATCTACATTATTGATGAATGTCTTTTATAGTATAACTTTTCGAAACATATTATATTTATTCATACAGATAGTACATGTTCAGACAGTGACCACTGCGATTATAGACACGTTTCCTAGGCAACTTATAGCCCGTAAACTGATGGTAACTCTGACAGTATGCAGCGTTCTTTTTCTTCTCGGCTTATCATGCATCACGCAGGTAGGTGAGGTCAAAATAATAGACTATTGTCTTTTGGTACTTTGTATTACATATAAGTGCATGTTAAACATGTTAAAGTTAAACTGAAATGGAATGACTCGTGAAAGTATGTCAGTGACCTAGAAACTCGGTTGGAAGTGCGATAGAACGCTGTGGAATTATATTCCGATGGTTTTCTTTGATGTTACGGCTAGGCTACTATGAACTTCTCGCCAATCCGTTACACGTGCTGTTAAATTTAAATGTAAAGGGCAATCACGTGTTACCATAGTTATTTTGGAAGTTTTCTATAAACTGTCAAACCACACAATTTTTGTTATGATTTCTACTATACAGAATTGCCTTTCCTAGACAAAATGTCGTAGCATATACATGTATGTTATTTCAGATCGACCTATTAACCCAGGCTAATTTGTATGCCACCCAATCGCAATCTTAAGAATGTTGGAAATTTGTGAATTGAGAAAAAAAGAAGAAAATTAGTTATCTGTTAGTAAACTCGCCAGAGAACCAAACCTACCTTTATCTGTTAATTTATTATTAATATGTCAAAGTTACTCTAACCTTCTCAATAAGTCACTTGAAAGGCGAAGGGTTAGGCAGCTTTCGTAAATCAGACAATGAACTATTTAAGCAATCATTTTTACTTTTAATTTATTTCGCCGGAACAACATTCATAGTAGTGTTTTTATTTCTATTCACTGTTTATTCAATTTTTTAACGTTGAAAAAGATAGGTTCGTTCATTAACTTTTCCGGATTAGATTTTTTTCTGGCATTTAAAATGTGAAAATAAATGTGATCTTCTTCCCTTCGAAGACCGGAGACCGTAGCTATAGAGATAATCCTTCCAGTGCGTATTCGAGCACATGTTACGTTCAGCAGTGGTATATTTCTAAAATTGTTACCATCAATATTTGATAGAAAGGCTAATCAAAATTTGTAAATGAGCATAATATATATTTCAGGGAGGGGTTTATTTCCTGCAGATCCTAGACTGGTATTGTGCTAGTATTGCTGTTATGCTGATAGCCTTTTTGGAAACAGTTGGTCTTGCATGGGTGTACGGTAAGTTTTAATATATGAGCTCAAGAAAAAATAGACTCATAATTAGTATAAATGTTTTTCTTTTCATCATTTACTCCTTGTGGCTGAGCGGCTGCCTAAAAGTGTTGATGCATCAGAATTAATATCGCAGCCACCGTTTATCCGTGCGTGAACGTATAAGGCAACTAAATTGGTCGAATAACTTGATAAGCTCTGAGACAAAAAAAATGATTCAACAAACTGCTTTATTTGTAAAACGTGTTTTTCAGTACTTAACAATAATTTCACTGTTGTTTTCTTTTTCCTAAATGTACAAAGAAACATTTCATAATTTAGAACATGATACGTGTTTTTGTTTCTGATGGTTCTTAGCAATGTTAGACAAAAAAAAAGAAAACGTGATAAACAATTGGTGGTCTAGTACAAAGATGAAAAAACAACAACATAGGATATAAGTTTTTATCTTAAGTAAGCAGGTACTTCATTCAGGCATTTTCTAGATTTATTGTCTGAACATTTTTGAATGTTCTAATCATGTTTTCATTTTTATATGGAACGCCAGTATTGCCGAAATTTTGATTATATTTCGATTATATTGGATAGTGTTATAACTAAACCTAAACTAGTATTCTGTTGTAACGTTTCTTGTTTTTAATAGGTACAAAAAGATTGTATGGCGATATTGAGATGATGATTGGTAGAACGTTGCCTCCTGTTTGGGGGATATTTTGGAAATTTATTACACCGTCAATCATCTTGGTAACTGTATATTCACTTATAATAAACACTTAAGATTCTGTCGATTTTAATGAATCAATTATTGTAGATAAAATTGTCTAAAGAAGAAACCCTGAATGGCACAATTGATAATACAGCTTTAATAGTGCACGTGAAACGATGTCGTGGAAATGGAACTGATAGCGAAAACGCAGAAAATGTTAAACTGATGATAATGACTCCATTGTCCCAATACTTCATCCTTCGTTTGTTTATTTATTTATTTATTTATTTATTTATTTGACAAATATGCATTCATGTGAATTCACTAAAAATGATGTCTTCCAATATATTCTGCAGCACTTAACGCATTTGTGGTGTTAAGTTGCTTTCAGCGTTCTCGATAAAAACATCATAATAAACGTACAGTCGCTTTATTTTTTGTCAGTCCATTTGGATTTTCAATCTTGCTCAATTGGAGGCAGTCAAGTACGGCAATGTGACATATCCGATGTGGGCTATCGGGATTGGCTGGGTGGTAGCGTTCATGTCCCTGGTACCCATGCCTGTCTGTATGGTTCAAGCACTAAGAAGAGCAGAAGGAAATACATTCATTCAGGTAAATAAAATTCCCATTCTTAATTTTGTTTATTTAAAAAAAAAATATGTGATTCAAAAGAAATTGGTTGATAAATTTAGAGTACAGTAGATGTTCTATATGTAGAAAATGCATTAACAATAAGCATAATTCAAATTGACCAATGGGTAAATAACATTAAAAAGTGAGGGTTAATATTGTAGAAAGTCTTCCCGATTGTGATTAAGGCCATTAATCGGTGCATATACCAAGCAATTTCACGGAATCTAGTAAATTGAAGGACATGTAAAATAAATTAATAGTTCAGACACACAGGGGCACCTGAGTAGAACCACCGACGTTCCGTTAGCTAGCTAGATAACGTCCTTACACGAAAGAATCCAAAGTCCCTGTCGGGATTCGAACCCACTACGGTGAGGGGCAAGTGGTAAAAATATAGTAAGTGCTCAATTCAACATATACTTATTAAGCAATAATATATATGTGTTTTCAGAAACTTCGATTCAGTATTAAACCTAGTCCAGAATGGAAGCCAGCTAACAAAGACTTGCAAGAACAGTATCGGGATATGATGGAAAATAATGTTGTTTTGTTTGAAGTCAAAACCTGATAAATAGGCATCCATTATACTACTTAACATTATATAGGAATCACTGCTTAGACATGTTATTCTACGTATCATCGTATAACGTACACGCATAATTATGAAACAACTTGATTACGTTTTATTTCATTTCCTTGTCATTTCCCCTCTTTATTATAAAGATATGTTTTAATTTGGCTGAGTTTTAAATCACTCAGACACTTTTGAGGTCATATAGCGGATTTCCTGCTAGCTTTTATGTTCAACTCCGTACATTATTTCAGGCACGAACGGTCGTTTGAGTAGAACCACCGGCGTTCCTGAAGTTTGAAAAATAGCAACCATGTTTTTATGTTAAGCAGTATATTAGTTATTATATTTTTAATGGTGATTTAGTTTATATTTTATTTATAGTCAATATATTTTTGTATTTGTTCTTCTTTAAAAGCCATTCCTAACAATAAAATATACAAATCAACTTTATTTATTTTCTTAATGAAGTAAAGAACAAAATAAATTGCTGCTGTTGTTGTTGTTGTTGGGGTTTACGTCGCATCAACACAGTAAAGTTATATGGCGATTTTCCATTTTCACTGGTGGAGGAAGACCTCACGCGCCACTCTGTAAATTATTTCAGGCACAAACGGCCACCTGAGTAGAACCACCGACGTTTCGTTAGCTGGCTGGATACAAGTATTGATTTATGATACTAAAAGTTAGATACATAACGGTATGCGGGTGTTACTTTTTATAATTTATACAGCGAAAAGACATAAAATAAACGTATGATATTTTATTTAATCAATATTTTATCAATATATCATTGATAGGTATAAAATAAAGAGCGATATGCACAGATGCGATGTGTAAAAAATCAAGCAATACTGATATGTTAAATACTTGTATATGTATATATATATAATTATCGCATGGTTTGGAACATTTCCTTTGTTCTTAATAACTCATTATACTCAGTACACTTCAATGAGCATTTGAAAACTGTATTGATATATAACAGTACAGTTTTTTTCATTGATTCATATAGGAAAAAAACTCGACTGTTATATATCGGTTGAGTTTTTTTCGCACCTTGTATATATCAATACAGTTTTTTTTCATAGAGGCTCCAATGGGGCAGTGGTAACGACCATTCCCAGTAGCAAAAAAAATGGAATCACTAAAATAAATATATAAATACAATGAAAAATATTAACAAAGATAATTAATGAAATGAAATTTACTCTCATTTAATCAAAAGGTACATCCGCTGAATGAATTATTTCCACTGAAAAAAAATCCCTTTAATCTTGAATCAATCTTGGTAACAGTTTACAATCCGCCTCTAACTTGAAAAAACTGCCTTATCATAAATAACTGTAATGTAGCTAACGATTTATTTATTTGTTTCTATTACAAAAAAAAAGAAAACGTTATGTCATTGCGATAAAACAGTTATAGTATATGAAACTCGTTAGTTATGGGGGTATAACACTGGCTGGGGCGACATCTCGGGATGTTTCTGCAAAAAAATTGTCTCGGCCTCACGGCCTCGCCATTTTTTTAGCAGAAACACCCCTTGATGTCGCCCCAGCCAGTGTTATATCCTCGTAACTAACTCGTTCCATGTACTATAACTGTTACGTAATTCTGACATAAAAAAGAAAAATCTCGTACAATAATCAATTCATGTTATTTTTATAAAAAAAATACTAGTAGTTAAATTGTTCTTTCCTAGAACTACTTTTACAATGTTCTAATATCATTCATGTCACATATACTTTTTTCTTTTGCAAAACAGAATCGTGCATTTCTTATCGCCATGGCACATTTATTTTTAATTTGCTTGAAAGGCTCATTGTGTATCAAAAATGATTTTTTTGTCTGTAGAAAAGACAAACATGAGTTTATTATGATGTTATAATGAATTTCAAACATGTGAGTTGGTTTTAAGATAGCGTTAAATGTTAATTTAAATGTGATAAAGGTGTCGAAAGATAAGTAAAGTAGAATTTTGACTTCCATACAAAATAAAAAAATACTTCATAATTATGTACTAATTTTCAATGTGCAGAAAAGCAAAATGAGCATAGGCTTAATAGCAAATAACGTTTTATCTTTCATTTAAAGATATTACAGAAAACTTTTTAAAAATGTTTATACTAAGGCCTTTGAAATTTGTTCCTGGTTTATATAGAATGTATTGTAGTTCGATTGTGTTGGAATCTACAAGCTGATAGACACTCCTTTGAATCCGTTCCTGGAACCAACCAGTACTGAACGATGGGTGTAAAGTTTCTTGCTTAAGGACACAACGACTTGCCCCTGACAGGATTTGAACCCATGCGACTAGCGATCATTAGATAACTAGTCCGACGCGATAACCACTCGGCCATGCAGTCATTTTCCTGTTTTGTTCTGTTATAATATATCATATTCAGAAAATAAGAAACAGGCGATGTTTAACTTCTCAGAGACAGAAACTCTTCCTTTTTATCAGCAAGACTGTAGTAAATCTTAATGTAAGGTATTTGAAACCTTTATCTATCGGGCTACATACTTTCAGAAACTGCTATACTGACAGTTTTAGGTAGCACTCCACAGTTAATTTCAAGTTCCTGCCGTCAATGTCCTACAAGCAATACGTCTAATAATTCTGATACCAAACTACACAACCTGGAAAAGAAAACACATTTTGTTGAGAACATATATGACATAAGATTGCAAATCTTCAAAGAAATTATCCCATCTGCAATAGGCAGGCAGTCAAAAAATTTGCAATTCATTCCGTTGAAGCCCAAAATCTACAGTGGCCCGAGACCCAAAACAACACATTTCAACCCTCTGGTAAAAAATATCTGCAAATATACAGGCTAAAGGAACACCGTCTCTGCTTTAGCAACTCCCTATACATGCAAAATATCACAAAGAAACTAGTCCTCAACCTTGTAGATTTTTTGCTACTGCTAAAAGTTTGTACCCCCCTGTAAAATGACTTCTTTTTACCGTGCATGCTGTATAAAAGCAATGTTTACAAAAAATGGCGGCCTTGACATTCATAATCAACAGCATGTGATTTCTGGCCATGTTTTCGAATTTGCCAGTGATCATATTAGATGTCACAAAAACAAATCTTATGCTGAAAATGCATTTTAAAGACAACCAGTCATTTAAATCCAGAATATTCACTATATCCAAGAAATCCTCCCTGGCCATTCGAAGCTGTGGCTTACATTACTGTGGTGTGCTACCTTATGAAAGTTCTTTGAAACCTCGACCTTGTTAATGAAGGGCGGATTGCAAATACGCCTATGTAACGTCAATTTTAGTTCTGGGTTTTTTTTATGGTATCAAGACTTTAGACAAATTCTTCATTGTAAAGAAATCTGATAATTTTCAAAACAAAAACTACGAGTTTGTAGAAACAGTATACAGTTCAACTTTAAAAACGTGCTATCATTCTGTAAAAGTAATTACTGATTATCTACAACGCTAGGTTTAAATAGCATTTGTTGTTGTTGTTGTTGTTGTTGTTGTTTCATCTGAAAACATTGTTATTGTTCAGAAATGGTCGGGACGATGTCATACATGTAATTAAATATAAATTTTAAAATCGTACATTGAAATCTGTTAGGACACACTGCCTTTTTTGAATAATTTGTGCTGCTCTTTAAAGATATAACATTGGTGATGTGTACATGACCTTTCTTTGCAATTAAAATATAAATCACTGTACTTCAATATATAGACTTACTTTATGTTCATTGTCTTGTTTAAAGAAATTGCCTTGTGATGCACAATACCTTGGATACCGCCTCCGTGGTCGAGGGGTTAGAGTCGATGACTTCTAATCCAGTTACCTCTTTGGCGTGGGTTCGATCCCCGGGAGATGCTTTGGTAGTTTAGCGCGCGCGGAGGAAGGTAGTCTAGTACTGGTGTAACTCTCCAGGAACGATGGTTAGGAAACTACCTGCCTATATGACTGAAATGCTTTTTGAAAGAGGCGTAAAATGACACAAACAAACAAACAAGACCTTGGTTTCTTAGTACATGGCCATGTTAGGTAAGTCCATGTTCTGCAAGTGTATTGATACGTTTTTAAGATAAATGGTCTTATCCTTGATCTGTAAGAATATGGCCTTATATTGTGCCATGTGTTCTTAGTAAAGTCTTTGTCATTAAAATATATTGCCTAATTCCTCCAGAATACAATGTTACTATGGACAAAAATTGTCCTGTTTGTAAGTATATTGTTTTGTTCTTTATTGTATATTGTTTAGAATTGTATGTTCTTTAAAGGCACATTATGGATCAGGGACGAGTAAATAGTTCCTTCAATATAAAGGGCAAACATGAGTTTTATTACTTTAAGTTAATGGTTTAAGGGCATGTTAAATGCATATAAACTGAAAAAAAGAAGTTTTGATTGTGCAATTATTTTTCATAAAAGTAAACGATGGCAGTCATACAAAATACTAAATTACTATTCCTGAACTTATTGCTAAAAAGCCACAGAAGAAAAAGATGGCTAAGATAATTGTCCAATGGGTAATTTTAAGAAAAATATAAACGGACATCAAAAATAAAAAGCTTTCGAAAAATAAAAATATTTCTTAGGCAAAATGGGCCTTTAAGTACATACTCCTGTGATGCAAATGTTCTTGTAAAGATATTGTCCTAGCCTGTAAGTTAAAATGTAAGTACACAAGTATGGGATCTTGTTCTGAAATTATTCTTGTAAAGATATGGATCTGGCCTGTAAGTTATGTGGATACTTACTGTTCTGTATGGGCGGAAATAAAAACGACATACATACACTGTTGCATTATCTCTGTTTGATTTAAGAGCAACATTACATCAATCATAAACCAGGAAATAAAAAAGCCATTCGATGTCTAGAAGTGAGAGAAATAATAAATTGTGCACGTATTTAATTTCGAGCAGTTTAACGAGTGTATTAGATTTTACACCTAACAAAAAGGCATCGAGTTCTCAGTACATGAAAGTGTTGATTTGTTAGTCTGAATTCAAAGTTAAAAATATATTTGAGTATTACCAGTTGAAACAAACATTCTCACACAAGCATTGGAATAACTTGTTTGTTAGCGGCGCATAATTAGATATACTTCTTGCTTATAAGATTAAAACAAATTATTCTCAAGATTTAATAGACTGTCGGGAAAATATGATTTATACAAAAATATTCATCTGCGTGTTGTTTTGTATGTGGGTCAATGGCCAGACAGAGTCAAGTAAAAATGATACAAAAGGAACTGATATTGACGGACAAACTTTGTATAACTTTGGAAGGAAATACAATAAACCGATGCTATCAGTCATCGGAAGAGCTCTTCTTAATCTTCATTCTTGTGCAGAATGGACACAATGGACAACTTGTGAAACTACAAGAGTCGGGTATTATTCAGTACGAAAACGAACGAGGTCATGTGGTCAAATTGATGATACTTCACAGGATCTTATATCGACGGTCGACGAAGATTTTAGTTTCTGCGAAGGTCG